GAAGTGGAAATTTCAAATGGCTCTGCCTATTCCTATGTTTCTACAATTTGAGGGGTCTCTATCTTTTTAATATTTCATGTTACTTTTTTTTTTTTCATGGCTCAAAAGAGAAAGACTGGCACAAAGCATGAAAAAGAACACGCTGCAAAAACAAATAGGCAATATATAAGCCAAAGCATCAATATACATAAACGTGCAAAAATAAATTCAAAGTTGGGAAAAGGGTTAAATTATAAAAAGAAAATATTTCTTCAATTTCTATAATTTAACCATTTTCATAGTAATGTCTATTGTTTACTGTTACTTATGTGGGTAATCACTTTTCATATATCTATTTATTTGGGTTCTTTAGCTTAAAATCCACATAAATGCATGAGGTAAATACTCTGGCAATGGCAGTCTTAAGTTAGAAATGAGAGAATTTTTTTCTCAATTTAAAAATAATTAAAACAGGATATTAAGTAAATAAGAAAAACAAATATACAAGTAGAAAAAAATTGGTAACATGTTGCATAACCACATTTTTAAAAAGTTTCTTTGTGTATAACACACACACACAGAAAGAGAGAGAGAGAGAGAGAGAGAGAGAGAGAGCTTTTATAGTAATTTCTTTTTATGGCTCTTCTTCTTTAATAGATTATTACCTCCTCAGGATAGGGTCGATGTCTTCTCAACTTTATTATTCCTGGCATCTAACATTGTATCTGGCACTGCAATGAGCCTCAGATGTTAGCTGAATAAATGAATGGATGAGTGGATAAGTAAAGAAATAACTCTCTATTGCACATTTATGTGAATATTTTTTATAATCATGGGGATACTATTTGATGGTCTAACCACAGTAGAACAATAGCAAATATATTAAAATGATGTTGTACAATGCCCATTAGGTTGATCCATATGATAGTTGGTTTTCAAAATATTCATCCTCATTTTCTATTTCTACCACAAAAAATTACAGTGAATACATTATTTAAGTCTCCCTGTCTCTTACTTTCTTTTTCTCTCTCTTTTTTGAAGCCCAGTTGTAAAACTTAAGGAATGGTTCACATTTCAATGATTAGAATGATTGCATGCCCTTCTTTGATGGTATTTCCTGAGAATACTTGGTGCAGCTAATGAGTGGTTTTATAACCTGCACAGGCAGATTAAAAGGAAAAGTTAGGAAAGTGAATTAAGTCTGTAAATTAAGACAGGCTTTTATCAATATCCAGCTTCTTATATTGCTAAGTGTCAGACAGACATCCTCTGCTTTAATATCTAATTTAACTAATCATCCCTTTGATTGCATATCACTAAGACATCACTGAGAGTCAAAAGCTAGCCTTGAAAAGGATTTCTCTTCTTTAATCATCAAAAATACATGAAATTATATTAATTAGGTGTGAATTTCCCATCCTTGTCAATGCAGAAGCTACATGAATCTCTGGGTGCAAAGATTTGTTGTTGTCGTTTTAGAAAAGATGTTGAAAGATCTATCTATAGCTACTAGTTGTTTTTAGTTGTTTTCCAAAGTTAATTTTAGATTAACTGATGCACAGTTGTACTGTTTTATCTGTAACCACACAGAGGAATAACCACTCAATCAAACATATGTGTCTCTCTTAGCAGAACAAGTCATCAACTATATTTATTAATATTCATTCCCTAAAAGCATGAAACTATCAATGTTGAACTTCTTTGGATCCTCTCTTTGGACATTTTTCTCTTTCTCTTTAGTTTATATTTTTAAAAATATCTTTCAATTATGCATTTTATAACTGTATGCTATAAATCTGTTGGAACATCTTGCTTGATTTTCCACATGCCTTTCCCCTAAATGTTCCCCTGTATTTTACTGTTTTGATTACAAACTTCAGGAACAAAGTTTTTCTTGTGAGTTCATCAGGAAAACACAACGATCCAGGACCAAAGAATTTTGGGAGGCTAACCAAAACATAATCATATATACACACATATACATACACACGTATATATATATGTATATGTGTGTGTGTGTATATATATATCCATTATCATGATTTGTTAAATCATCTAGTTCTAAAAAGAGGCTAGACTTAGAATACCAGAGAACAGTGTATACAAATCTAAGCCTTGTCCTTGTTCTCAGCTGGCTTATATACTGTTTTAATGTTATTTTTATTTGACCATAAGGATTAAATTATATTATATGTCATGTTATGCGGTATACTGAGACTGTTCATATATTAGACTATTATACTCTAAGTTAGCCAACCTTAGGTATTAGAAGATGTTTAATAGGATTTTTTAGAAAATTAATTTTTCCTTTAAAATTGAAGAATTTTATATAGAAAGTTATAGTTGGTACTCATACGATAGTCATATTACAGTAGAATTTTTGAAAATCAAAATAATTTGATGACATAATGGTATAACTTTTAAATGTGACTGATCTTAGAAATTATAACTTGCCCTCCATGTTCAATTCACTTCAAAATTTCTTTAAAAAATTTTTTTTTTAATTTTAAAGATTTGGGGTACAATTCAGGATTAGGAATATAAGTAGTCATTGTACAGGTAAAATTTTAGCCTCCCTTTGGTCCTCTCTTTGCCTGATTTGAGATCAGGTACTCTTATTAATGTTATGCCCCCCGCCACCCTGCAACAATTTCCAGCTACTGCCAATCCCTTTCTTATTGTATTATGGTAATGTTCGGAGTCTGCTTATGAGTGAGAACATGTGGTACTCAGTTCTTTGTTTCTGTGACAGATAGCTCAATATTATAGACTCTAAGTCCATCCAAGTTACTGCAAAGGCTGTAATTTTGTTCTTCTTTATGGCTGGATAATATTCCATCGTGTATATGTACCACATTTTTTTAATCCATTCCATGTTCAATGGGCAGCACAGTTGGTTCCATGTTTTTGCGATTATAAATAGTGCTACAGTAAATGTATGTTTAGGTATCTTTTCTGTAGAGCGATTTAAGTTCCTCTGGTTATATTCCCAGAAGAGGGATTGCGGGGTCATATGGAAGGTCAATTCCTAGTTCTTTTAGGAATCACCACATTGTTTTCCATGGAGGTTGAACTAGTTTGTGTTCCCACCATCAGACAGTGTAGAAGCATTCCCTTTTCTCCTCATCTTCATCAACATATGTTGTTTATTATTTTATTAAAGATGGCCATTCTTACTGGAGTTAAGTGGTATCTCAATGTGGCTTTGATTTGCATTTCTCTGATGATTAGTGAGGCTGAGCATTTTTTTGTGTCTGTTGGCTACACATATGTCTTCTTTTGAGAAGTGCCTATTCATGTCTTTTGCCCACTTTTTAACAGGGCTGTTTGTTTTTTTCCTTTCAGCATGTTTGAGTTCCTTGTAGATCCTGGATGTTAAGCCTTTGTCAGATGTACAGTTGGCAAATATCTTTTCCCATTCTGTGGGCTGTCTTCCCAGTCTCTTGATGGCTTCTTTTGCTTTGCAGAAGCTTTTTTCAGTTTGATGAGGTCCCACTTGTCTATCTTATCTCTTATGGTATGGGCTTTGGGGGTTTGGACCAGGAATTGGTTTCCTATTACAATTATCTCCTGCATTTCTTAAGATTCTTAAAATTTGGCATTTTGCCTTTAGGTATTTGATCCATTTAGAGTTGATTTTCATGTATGGTGATTGGTAGGGGTCCTGTTTCATTCTTCTGCACACGGTCAGCCAGTTTTCCTGGCATCAAATATTGAATAGGTTCTCCTTTCCCCAGTGGTTGTTGTTGGAGGGTTTGTAGAAGATGAATTGATTGTTATAAGGCTACAATAATCAAAACCTATTATTGGTACAAGAACAGGCATATCGATCAATGGAACAGGACAGAGATATCAGAAGCATAATTTCTTTATCATATCTGTCAGAGATAAGTGATGTCTTTCATATATCCTTCTTTTTTCTCTTTTCTTGTCAGTTATTTAAGCTTTTTTGAGGATAGTGCAGCCTCAATAATTAAAGAATATGAATAAAGAATATGAATGGGGAAGGTAAGACATCCAGAACTAGAAAACAAGTATTTAGGTAAAATGTTCAGATTCCATCAAATATTAATAGCAATAATATTGTATATATGTAAGAACAGATGGAATTAACTGAGTAGGACATTGTAATAATGGTGTATCAGAAAATTCAAAACAAATGGATTGTCAATCCTGCTAGTATTTTGGGGAAATGTTTTAGTAGATTGATATGTCTCTGTTTTGGTGAGATGAACTATATCATGATTTTTTTTTTTTTTGAGTTAGGGTCTCAGTTGGTCTCCCTGAAGTGCAGTGGCCCAGACTGGTCTCAAAATTCTAGGTTCAAGTTATCCTCCTGCCTCAGCCTCCTGAATGACTGAGATTACGGGCATGAGCCACCATACCCAGCTATATCATGAATATTATCAGAGATTAAGGTCAAATAAAAATATAAAAACAAATCTCTAAATTTAAAACACTTCATTTGGAAAGCAAGACTTGCAATTTGGTGTATATACCAACTTGTCTTTGGTATATCCAAAGAACCGAGAAAAGGTTGGGGGTTTTATAAAAAGAAGTAATGTTATATATTGTTGTGCAAGAAGGTTTATTGGCACTAGTAGAATTTTGGCGAGCTGGCTACTCTGACTGGTGAGTGACAGTAGTACGCAAAGTAAATTTTAGAGTTGCAGCAAGTTGTTTCAGTAGTCATTTCGTAAAACTGCTTTCAGGCTACAACAGGCAGTTTCTGCAGTCAACTTAAAGAGAATTACATTCTTGGAGCAACATTATATGCCCCGATTGCTTTTTCCCCTGACCTCTTGACTCCTTTCAACTTGGGTATAACACCAATGACCCTGTTTCTATAATCAGCTTTCACAAGTCCAATGTTTGCTGGTTTGTTTCTTTCAGTTGTTATCGGTCAAATGCTTCTATGCTAAATAACTTGGTTTTTTCCCTCCTTCTCTTTTTCCTCTTCCTTCTCCTTCTTCTTCTTCTGTGTTTAATTATTTCCCTAATGCAAACTTCTTTGCTTTCAGACAGAGAAAGGACTATCAAAAGTCTGGCAAGAAAGTAAGCAGAACCCTGGTAATCGGTGGCAAAAGGCTGACATCCTGTTGGGAAAATTAAGAAATTTTGAAGTCATATTTCAAGGTGTCAGAACAAGGGATCTAGGTGGAGGTGCTGCAATTGATGATATTGAATTTAAAAACTGCACAACTGGTAAGTGTCTAGAAAACACTTCTATTTAGAAGCACATTTATGATCTGGCCATTTTATCTTTTTACATATTTATAAGATTTTCTACTACTATGTACTTTGTACACACACAAAAATCAGCTGAAAGGTATAATTCCATAATTGTGAATTGACAACTACATGTTAAGAGATAATGCCTGCCTTAGTCCATTTGGGCTGCTATACGAAATAGCATAACTAGATGCCTTACAAACAACACAGTTGTTTTCTCATAGTTCTGGGTAAGTCCAACATCCAGGAATTGGCAGTGTCGGTATCTGGTGAGCAATAACTTCCCTTTCACAAATGGCACCTTCTTGCTGTATCTTCACATGGTAGAATGGCATATGAGCTCCATTGGGCCTGTTTTATATGGGCACTAAGCACATTCATGAGAGCTCTGCCCCCATGACCTAATCACCTTCCAAAAGACCTCACCTCCCAATACTATCACCTTAGGGGTTAGGATTTCAAAATGTAAAGTGGGGTGGGGAGGTAGTCATAGACATAGAGAGCATAGCAATTTCTTCTCCATCCTTCCACTGCACAAGTAACTGCCCGCTTCCTTCCACGCCATCCACTTCCCAACACACAGAAATGTTCTTTTTAAAATTTATTTCAGCACGGTTTTAAATGTAAGCCTAATAATTATGTGCATTTATCTAATTTAAATTAATTTAAGTTGAACTTGTAAAAAAAGAGTTCAATAGCTGGCAGTTAATACATGTATGATAAATAAATTCATCCAGGTAAAATTCAAGCAGAACTTGAGTTGAGAGCTATGCTTAGATTTAAAGATGCCACTCCAGGCTGAGAGCGGTAACTGGAAAAAAATGTGCTGTCATTTATCATGTTTCTAAATGCAAAGTAAAACTACACTTAGATTCTCTTTACAAAACTACCCAGAAAATGTCAAAAATAATTATAAATACATTTGTACAATTTCACAGTTTGAAAAGTTGTTTCAGAGGAATCATTCCATTTGGTTTCCAAAATAGTCTTGTGTGAGATATACTGCCAATGAAAGATATGCCTTCTGTGGTTTTCTACACTGATTCACTTGGCAGAAGGCCCCTGCCACTGAAGAGCTAAACCTGAATGCTATTTAATTTTATTGTTGCTCTCATATTAAAATATCATTTCACTGAGGCAGTTCAAAAATGTGACTTTGGTTTTTGGTGGTGTTAACAGCATCTGCTCTTTTTATGAGGAGCACTGTTTCAAAGGATTCTGCTTAGAAGTAAATCCTTTAAAGTTTGATGCCCTCTCCTTCACCCTACATTTCCAGAAAAGGTGGCTGCTACTCAGTCCTATCCAATATATGTTCCATAAAATCAGAATTAATGTGTCCCATATGATACTTCTGGGTAGATATATCATGCAGGAGACTGGATTTGGGCTTGAAGATACTTGGGAGAAGTGCCTTGATGATAAAAATCACAAGCCGGGCACAGTGTCTCACACCTGTAATCCCAGCACTTTAGGAGACCGAGGCAGGAGATTGTTTGAGCCCATGCATTCAAGACCAGCCTAGGCAACATTGCAAGACCTTGTCTCTACAAAAAAAAAAAAAAAAAGATTTAGCCAGGTGCACACCTGTAGTCCCAGCTATTCAGAAAGCTGAGGCGGAAGGATCGCCAGAGCCCAGAAGGTAGAGATTGCAGCGAACTGTGATCTTGCTACTATGAAATGTGATCTTGCTTCCTCTCTCCAGTCTGGATGACAGAATGAGACCCAGACTCAAAAAAAATTTAAAAAAAGAGAGAGAGAGAAAGAAAATGAGATTCTACACATACAATTGTGAAAAGTGTATCTTAGACATGAGAATGTGCTTCTTAAACTCTTTCCTAGTCATTTTCTGAGTGATAAGTTACATTTCTATTATGGCTAGAAACTCAATCTAGAAATAATTTTGGCAACATGAAAAGGAAAAAATTCTTCAAAACATTTTCTAAGATTTTAGAAAGAAAGCTTTTATTAACTAAGAGAAATTCCTTTCCTCTCAAGGGAAGCAAGATGATTCCTAGATGGGTTGAAAATGAGAGTTATTATTCCAGCCTTGCCTGGTTTCATGCAGAAGTTTGTGACATTTTTTTCTCCTTTTTGCCTTAGAGTCCTGTGAGAATTCAAAAGGTTACAATGAGCTTTTCTCAACTCAAGCCAACACTCAGCTTACTGTTATACTTTAGTATCTCATATTTAGTGATAAACTATTTTAAGTCTATAGCTCTTTCTATATTCACCAGATAGAGGCATCATGTCATCAATTATAGTTAAACATGGTCAATTACATGTCGACTACATTTTAGAAAAGATAGTCATTGGTTTTTAATAACCCAGCCTGCTACAAATAATGAGAATTTCCCAGTTGTATTTTAGTTATGATAGAAAGCGCTAAAAAATATGTTAACGTTTGAAAGACTATGAATGGAACTAAAAAACATTATTTTTAATCCCTTTAGCTTTAAATTATCTTCCAGTGACGTGTAAGTTCCACATAGCATGGGTTATAAGAAGGAGCTTAGATGTAAGTTTCCCAAAGGTGTTTTCTACCATTACCAGTTTAGAAGATAAGAACGAAATTTGGCAAAACACATAAGTCAGAGAAGCACTTATCATCATGGTTAAGAACAAAGAGTCTTGACTCAAACTACTTGGGTGTGGAATTCAGGTCTCTCTCTTAGCTTGGATAAGTGTCTTCATTTCACTTTGCCTCAGTTTCCTCATCAGTGCAATTGGGATGATGAAAGTTGTTCTTCCATCATTTCTGTGAATATTAAATACATTAATGCATGTGAAATTGTTAGACTAGTCTAGGCACATAATAAAATTAATGTTAATATTACATTTTATTGTTACAGTTATCATCATTATCATTATTATTAACATGCTATAGTCACAGATGATTATCTATTGCTGTCTACTAGGAAACCAAATTAAAATCATATGCAAATAAGTCACCACAAAAATTTTTCATGAAATGGTTCCTGTTCTGCATTTAAGATGAAGAACTTTAAAAATGACTGAATATTCATTTCTGTCTCATCCTATCTGTCACAAAAAATCCACATATTATATGATACCATGTATATGAAGTGTCCAGAACAGGTAACTGCATAAAAACAGAGAATAGATTAGTAATTACTTTGAGCTGAGAGAATGGGCGTGAGAGCCACTGCTAACTGACATGAGATTTCTTTATAGGATGATAAAAATATTCCAGAATTGTTTATGGTGATCATTGCACAACACCATAAACACTAAAAACCATTCTGTGTTACATGACTGAACTTAATGGCATGTAAATTATAAATTATAAATCAATAAGACTGCATCAAAATAAAAAAAGAAATGACCAAATTCTGGAAAGATGGCAGTAGTAGTGATAGAATAGCCTTTGGATTTTCCTAACCATCAGAACATCTAGTTAATGAGGACAATATGTTATGGAAAACATTTGCAGTAAAATTAAGTGAAAATACAACCAAAGTCCAAAATACAATTTAATGGGGACAAGCCACTAACAGTCACAAGACCTGTGTCTTACATAAGTCTATAAGGGAGAAGGCAGGAGAATCATGAAATAGCCAAGATATACTCATTGGAAAATGCAGCCAGGTGGTTTGAGAATGGCAGCTAGCACTGGGAAGGGTTATATCCACTTTGAGAATGAATGGATCCAAGGGATCTATGTTCATGTCTGTGAGCTGGAACAATCTAGATCCCATGAACTCTCAAAATTGACCACGAGAATTTCCTTTCAGGACAGTAGCCCACATTGGAAAACAAAACAAAATGAAAAAACAAACAAATAAAAACACTGCCAGGAGTGGGATCAAACTGAATAGTGTAAGGACAGTTGACGACAAGAAAAGAACCACATCAAAGTGTGAAAAGGACTTGAACCAGGAAATCTCAAAAAGCAATCACCATATTTTTTTTGTAGATTTTTATACACGTATGTACCCTTTTCAGGGTTTTGATCCTAATTGTATAACTTTGATCATGTCCTTTTAGAGGCTCAGTTTCCTCATTTGCAAAATGACAGGATCACAGTAGAGAATCTTTCCCATTTTCCTACAATGCTGTAACTTAATTCTGGAGTCTATGCATATATTTTTAAAATTTCAGAATAATTGAGAGCAAAGATTAAAAGTGTCTATGCGTGGAAATGAGGGAGGGTAAATTACATATTATATATTTATATATATACATATAATATATATACACGCACACACACATATACATACACACGCACACATACATGTATATGGTATATATAGATGCTTCTTGACTTGTATTGGGGTTCTGTCCCAATACACGCATTGTAAAGCCAAAAAATTATAAATCAAACCATCATAAATTGGGAACTGTCTGCATACACACACACACACATACACACACACATACACACATATTTGGTGGGTATCTACTATACCTTTAAATAAGAAAGGTATTTAATCTTCATATTTATTTCTTTCAATTCAAAAATGTACAACTCAATTTATTAGCTAATACTTAGGAGACAGCCAACATAAAACTAGATATTTTCTTTTTTATTTCTTTACATTCTGAGTACATTATGGTACTATCTTATATTTGCTATCAAAATTATTGTATTTTTCTTCAAGGAAAAATAAAGCAAAAGAATGGGTAAATTGTGTAGTCTGTCCAGGAACACAATGAGAAGCATCTTTCCTTTTTGGATAAATTAATAAGGAAGCAAGCAACGTATTCACAGAAAGATAAGTGACAGATTATAAGTTTGATATTTCTCATTTTTCACTCAAGTTGGTTTAAAAATGGTTTCTGCACAAGTCTTATAAAATGCAGCCACCATTCCATAGAACAGAGAAGTAGGAAGAAAATTCATGCTGAAAAGAAAGGATTATTCTATCATTGTAATTATAAACTTCTAAATTTAAGTGGCTTCTCACATTTCAATTGGATTTTTATTTAAAGTACAATAATTTATTAAGTACAAT